CAATAACGTGTAAAAGCTCCTGTTAAAGTTTCTTATGCTAATGAAGGCATACCACCTAGTGCGCTGAAACTAGCAGCATTAGAGCAGTCAAGTGAAACTAGGAAGCCTACAGGAATGATCTAAATGCCTACTCAGCAGAGACAAAGCAGCAGACAGGACCCTTTGCCCTCTCCTTCTGTTTGTAAGGAAGTGGTTGCATTAAACAGTCAGATTTAGCCACATTAACAAAAATTTAACAAAGCTTCCCCAAGACTCCAGAATAAAACCTGACCTTTTCAGTTAAAGGTTAAAGAGGGGCCTCTTCCATGTCCTGGAATTTAATGAGTTCAAAGATTGGCAATAAAGGAAAAAAGAAAGCGTTAGGGGTATGATGGGAACAAGCTTTGGAGTTTATCGAACAGTCACACCGAGTTTCTCCAGCACGCGGACACCCTTTTCTTGGTACTCCTGTCGGGTCATCCAGAAGTTGTCTTTGTCTTTCATGATGTCTGCTAGAACGGCACCACCCAGGAATACCATGTGCTTTCGGCGGGGTGGGTCTTCGATGCGGATCTTAAATTTCTAAAGAAGAGAGATGATAAAATGTCACATGTGCATAGTGCTTTGTGCTGTGTAACGACTTCACATATTCTCCTGCGGAATTCTCACCAGTCCTGTGGTCTAAGTAGGACTGCAGGATTAGGCATCTGAGGTAGAGACATTCTGTAATTTGCCCAAAGCTCATACCTAGTGTGCTTGGAACAGTCCTGATTTACACCTGTTACCCCATCATTAGTAACAGCACTATCCAGTGTCCTGATTTGAACGATAAATCCCATGACCACCCTATTGTGAGCCCAAATACCAGATTCTGCTTGAGGCAGCTTTTCCCATCAACGGGTGGATGAACACAGGGGTTGACCACTTAGCTAGCTGTCAAATGAAGAGTTTGGATAAGAGGACTTCTGTGGTTTCTTCAAGGTCTAACGCTGCTATGACTTTAGTCCCATGCAATAGAGAAAGATTGAAACTCTTTTCTTATGAGCAAAGCTCTCTTTCTACTTTTTCAAATTCAAATAAAATATTCTCAAAAAGACCAAATATGTTCAAAATAAATCCTGGGGGTATTGGAAAAAATGAACACAGTAACCAAATGAAAGACAAGTGGGAAAAGTTTAAAACTCTATGGCCAAAACAAACAAACAAACAAAAAAACTCTATGGCCAGTATTAACTGCCTAACAAGGACACACCTCAATCTGTATGGTCAGTTAACACCTAAAAGAAACCTTAAAATGATACAGCAGTTTTATTAACAGTGCCACAAATCCTGCAAAAGGACTCAAAATAACTGTCATTCTAAAGTATCTTTATGTCACATAAATGAATCGTAAGATGGGATAATACATCTCAGAAAGACACCAGTTATCAACTCTGAGGCTAACCTGTTATAATGATTTGAATTATGTTTTGCTTGTAGGTCGGGGTCAGCAAACTGTTTCTGTAAAGGGCTAGAGAGCAGATACTTGAAGCTTTGCAGGTCTCTCTGGACAGCTATAGAAATACGTGGTGATAGGTAACGCCATATAAAATGGCTCTGGCTTTGTCCAAAACAATTGTATTTGCAGCAGAACAGCTGTTTGGGGCACAGGGCTGCAGGCCGACCACCCCCTCTCTAAGGGAAGCTGGGCTCCCAGAAGACACTGCTGCCCTTGAAGCTTTCTCAGCTGGCTGCTGTTTCCCTCTCACAGCACTTCCTGACCCCGGGAGTTGGTAACAGGCATTCTTATTCTTCATTGCTGCTCCTCTCTCCTCCTCCCTACAGCTCCACAGGCCTCAGAAACTCCTTCCATCCACTACTCCTTGCCTAAGTCATCTACAGATCCCCAGGTGATTTCTCCGCATATCTGCTCTCACTGCATGAGTGTGTGCCCTCTCCATCATTTCCTGACATTATCCCTAGTGAGTCTGTCCTATCCCTCTCACACTCGGAAAAACTGCAACTCAGGTGATCAACCCTCTACTTGCATTGCCCACAAGCAGCTGAACACTACAGGAGAAAAACTACGCACCTTACTTCTAACGCATCACTTACTTCAACTGAGCCCTAGTGCTGCTCGGCAATCCCATTACATTTCTTCCCTCTCCCCCACTCTCCAGGACATTTTACTCCTCCTCCTCTATTCTGTAAACCTCTATCACTTCCTCCCTTCTCTCAGAGCGTCCCAACCTGTCTTTCTACATTCACCTCTCTCCCTCCCCTCAAAGCCTGTTCACACCAGACTTAATGATCCTTTAAAAGCAAGTCAGATCCTAGCCTTTCTCTGCTCAAAATCCAATTTCACTAGGAGCAAAGTCAAACTCTACTGTGTCCTGGCTGTCTTTCTGCCTCACCTCCCAGCCCTCTCCATTGCTCTCTCAGCTCCAGCCATACCCACCCACTCCCACCAACTTGGGGCTTTTGCACTTGCTATTCCTGCCTAGAAGGTTCTTCCCCGAGAGTCAGTCACATGGCTCATTTCCTCACTCCATTCAGGTCTCTGCTCAAGTTTTCTCATCAGAGGCCTTCCCCAATCACACACATGAAGGAACACACCATCTCTCCAACTCTTACCACTTCCTAACCCCCAACCTTACTTTCCTGCTCTTCATAGTATTTATCACTACTGAGACGCTATCCTTCATAAACTAAAAGCAGGGATTTGGTTTTTGTTCACCACTGTTTTGTTTATCCCAGTGTTGTCACCCTGAAGGAATTCAACATATATATGTTGAATAAATAAATGATCACCTGAAACCAATTTTAAAGTATATGTGTAACTCAATAAAATCTGGCAAGTGAGTGAAGGACTTGGACAATATGGCTCCTTTCAGTCTTTTAATTTATTTAATATATGTGTGTCCAAACTCAATTTAATTTCACCAATTTTGAGTCACATATGAGAAATGTACTATTAGTGTCTCCAATATGTACAGTCCTCTGTAATGTGTAATCTCATCTAATACAGTTCATTAAAGTCCATGAGACAAACCTGAGAGATTTATTCAGAATTAAATGACTGTTGGTTGAGCACACAAAATATAGTGTACTTCACAGTCCAGTTTATAGGGAAAAAAAATCAACGTCAAACAACCATTAACTATGCTAGCTTAAAATTTTCTTTCTACACTACTTACCAACAACTACTAATTAAAGTTTATTTCAGGAGCTATGATAGTTGATGTAGTTGCAAAAAAATTGAAGACATGATGTTTTATAATCTGATCAGGGAGCTAAGACATATGCAAGAAAAAGCCAGAAAATAATCTAAAATCAGAAATATGAGTCCACGAGTAGCAATGAAGGCTGATTACATATCCAAAAAGTTAAAAACAAAAAACAACAATAAAAAACAACCCCAAACCACCAAGCGGGGCATTTATCCCTCCACAGTACAGCAGGTTCTTCCCATGCATTTAAGAGACACCTTGATTCTAGGCTAGTCATTACAGATAACCCAGAATGTTTGGTCCTGGACCTACTCATCTCCATCCACTGAATACACAAGTGGCCATGCAATATGACCATTCTGGGACAGTCCTTATGACCTTGACCATTCAGTGCTTCCTATCTCTTCAAGGCTATACTTGACTGTATTAGAAATTTGTTTAGAAAGACTTCTTGCGCCCTCTGGTGGCTGGCAAGATTCACAAGCTACTTTACAGGGTTTTAAAGGCATGTTAGTTGGATTACTGATACTTACAGAAAGCTTTTCCACATCTCCCTTTAAAACTCGTTCTAAGTAAAGCTGTTTTAGTTCTCGTTCCAACCGTGATGGTAGTCCAGGGTACATTGTAGACCCTCCAGAAAGCACAATGTGCTTATAGAATTCAGATCTAGAAAGACACAACAGATAACCATTTGGGGTTTCAGATTAGGAAAACAGTATCTCAGAGTCCCTGTTATTTATGTCAGCTAGTTGCTAGGAGAATTAAATAAAATTCAACATATAAACCACAGGCTAAATGTTTGCTATTACTACTATTATTGGATAACAAGCCCTCCTTTCATATAAAATGTTACAATTTTGATGAATATACTTCTAAAGCATGACACACTTGAAATGTAACCGAGTCTTTTAATAATGACCAGTTTACATTACAAACTATCAGTATTTGGACCGTGTTATAACAGTGCTTTCTGGAGCCTCTGAGAAGGGGTTGTTTACTCTAATAACCATATTCTATTATGTTCCCAGTTCTTGCTTTTCAATTTTTCCATTTGCCTTTTGTAGTTTCCCGTTTTGTTCCTTTGCCTTGAGGTTGTCACTGTTATTTTTTGTTAAACTGATGAACATGTTTGCTTCCTATAGTAATTCTCTCCTTTCCTTAAATATGTTGTTGGTTAATCAAATATAAAATAGCTACATATGTAGTAAAACATAATCTGAGGGAGGGTCCAAGGAATTCTTCTCAGAGTAAAGCTCAGGAGCTGAGTCACATCCATTTTCGCTTCATTCAAACTGGCTTCGTGTCTTTAGTAGTTACTCCCAGGTTCTCAATGGCTCAAGCAACTGTAATTCTAGCTTCTAAAAGAACAGCGTTTTTGTTTTTAATTGCAGAAGTATGCACATGCGTGTCCCATAAGCCAAGCAGCTGAAGTATGGCTCCATGTGATAAGTACCGTGACATTTACATGTATGCCTTCAATATGTAGAACACACAAACAAACAAAATTTTGAGTTGTGCTCCTCTCCACTCCGGGTCTGTGGAGAGGGGCTGAACTTGACCCCAGTGTTTTAGGAATGCCAAAACGTTAATCACCACCAATAGGAAGTGTACTTTTAAGTACAATTTTCATTAAATCAAAGGACAAAAGCATCTATCTAATTCCTATTATTAGAATTTATCATAATTATGAAGTCTAGGTTAGATGTTTTATCATCCTCCATTAGATTTATAGATTTACTAGAGGCCCAGTGCACGAATTTGTGCATGGGTGGGGTCCCTCAGCCTGGCCTGCGCCTTCTTGCAATCCGGGACCCCTCAGGAGAAGTAGCAGTGCCTAAGCAGCAGGCAGCAGGGAGAAGCCCAAGCCAGGCTGGGCGCCCCACCGCTCCCGCTCATCCTGGCCCCACTGCACCTGCTGCCACTGCTCGGTAGTGCTGCTGCGAGCCCGTGAGCCCGCTGTGAGCCCGGCTTCTGGCTGAGCAGCACTCCCACTGTGGGAGCACACTGACCACCAGGTGCAATAAAAGAAAAGATTATATATCTTTTTTCAAATTTATTGGTTGATTTAGAGAGGCAGGGAGAGAGAGAAACGTCGATTTGTTGATCCACTTATTTATTGGTTGATTCTTGTATGTGCCCTGACTGGAGATTGAACCTGCAACCTTGGCATATTGGGATAAAGCTCTAACCAACTGAACTAACCTAGCCAGGGCAGATAATATATCTTTTTTTTTTTAAAATCCTGACCTGAAGACATGCCCAGAGAGAGGAAGAAAGGAAGGGAAGCAGAGGGAGGTGGGAGGGAGAGGGAAACATGGACACGAGAGAGAAACTTCAATAGGCCTCCCTCCACACATTCCCCGACTGAGGATCAAACCCGCAACCCAAGCATGTGCCCTGACTGGGAATTGATCTGGCAAACCTCCTGGTGCACAGGACAATGACACTCAATCAACTGAGCCACTCTGGCTGGGCAAATTATGTATCTAATTATACAACTCAATAAACAATTTTTTTATGGCTAAAAACACCATAAGCAAGAGATAAGTGTTAAATAAGGGGAGTATATCTGTAATAGATAACAGAGCTAATATAAAAGGAATTTTTAAAAATTAAGGGAAAATAATTACAAAAATTCTATAGAACAGGCAAAAGCCATGAACAGAGAATTCATCAGAGAAAGATATAAAAATGGCCCTAAACATAGAAAAATTATGTTCAATTTCACTCCTAAGGGAGATGCAAATTAAAATTACACTGAGTTATCATTTCCCACTCCTCAAACCAGCAAAAAAGTAAGAGTTGACAAACTTGAACAAGCTGTGGGGACACAGGTGCCTTTGTGTATTACTAGTGGAAATGAGCAATAACAAACTACAACCACTTAGCCTTCGAGCCAAAAATTCCCTCTCTAGAAATATTTTCAGAATATATGCCCCAAACTACAAAAACATAATGTATACAAGCTTATTATTGTAGCATTATGTGTCAACACAATACTGGAATCTACCTAAATGACTAAGAACCACTGAATAAACCGTGATATGTATACACTGAAAAAAGAATGCAACTGGAAAAAGGAATGAAGACTATCTCTGGGAAATGGTATAGGATTGTTTAGGATATAATAAGCAAAAAAGGCAAAGGGCAAGAGTACTTATAGTATACTACCTTTTGTGTAAGAGAAAACAAGAACCACAGAAAGGGCGACCCTGAAACTGATGAAACTGTTTACTATAGGAGGGAGGAGAGGACTAGGGTGGAAAACAGGGGGTGGGAGAGTACTACTTATACATATACTTTTTAATGTAGTTTTGACTATATTGTTAAGGTTCTACTTATTCAAAAAACAAAATTAAAGATGAACCAGGAATATCCTGTGCCCCCAAATAGAATGTGCTAAAAAGATGGAGGCACATCAAAGGACACAGGAGCCTGCTTGAATGTGCTCTCATTGGTCAAATCAGGAACAATTTGAGCAGCAAAGTAAAGACAGTAATAAATTATAATCCACTGGAGAAGAAAATTGTGAATCCATACTGACAATGAACAAACAAAGAGGGAGAAGGAAAAGCACTTCCTTTTGCTAGAATGCTAACTGATGAATACAGAAGGAATGATGGAATTAGAAAATCACCTTCTTGCAATAATCACAAAAATGGAGCCCTAGCCGGTTTGGTTCAGTGGATAGAGTGTTGGCCTGTGGACTGAAGGGTCCAGAGTTCGATTCAAGTCAGGGCACATGCCCCAGTTGCAGGCTTGATCCCCAGTGTGGGGTGTGCAGGAGGCAGCCGATCAATGAATCTCTCTCATTGATGTTTCTATCTCTCCTTCTCTCTGAAAATCAATAAAAATATATTTAAAAATAAAAATAAAAATGGATTTAGGCAAGAATCATCAATACCTGCTAAAAAGGGTGGAGGGCAGAGTTTAATGAGGAACAGGAGATTTACAAAATCTCAATGTATTTTCCCACAAATTACTTATAAATTAGGAAAGAAAAAAACAGGACATCTATATAGTGGAGCAAAGAGAAAACGTCATTAAGAGCTCGACACTAACATCACCAATACGGAACAGACATCGTCTCTGGATGTGATGCCCTGAGAAGGACACATCACATACATATGCAATATTTTTGCTCAAAATCTGTAACCTGAATCCAATTATGAGAAATCATTCAAACCCAAATTGAGAAAAAATTCTCTAAAATAATTGGCCTGTACTCTGCAAAGATGTCAATATCATGAAAAACTGAGGACTGGTAGCAGATAAAAAGTGTCTAGGAATTGTGTCAACTAAATACAATGTGTGATCCTACATTTACTCCTTTACTGGAGAAAAGAAAAACTGTATAAAGGACATTAGTAGGATAGTGGATGAAACTGAAATCTGGTAAATTTAAGTATTTATCAGTAATGCCCTGGATGGTGTGGCTCAGTGCAACGACGGCCTTGGGTTTGATTCCTGATCAAGGGCATGTGCCTGGGTGGCAAGTTCAATCCTGCAGACCTGTGGGGGTGCATGCAGGAGGCAACCAATTGATCTGTCTCTCTCACATCAATGTTTCTCTCTTTTGCTCCTCCCCTCACTCACTTTCCCCCTTCCACTCTCTAAAACTAGAAAAAAAAATCCTCGGGTGAGGATTAATCTATAATAATAAAAGCGTAATATGCTAATTAGACCAGACATCCCTTCCGGATGAAGCCGAGACTGTGAGGGAAGCCTGGGTCCTGGGTGGGGTGCCTGCTGGTGGGCTGGAGAGAAGCCTGGGTCCTGGGTGCTGGAGGGAAGCCGATGCCAGCAGCCCAGGGGGGAGGAAGGCCTACTTTTGCATGAATTTTGTGTATTGGGCCTCTAGTAAATAAATAAGCATATAAAAATTAGTTATTAGTAATCAATCTCCTGTATCTGATAATTAAACTGTGGCTGTATAAGGGAATATTTTTGTTTTTAGAAACTACAAAGTGAATATTAAGAAGTATAGAGGACTTAACATTCATCCTCTCAAATACATCAAGAAAAAAGAGGGGCTAATAAAGCAAGCATGTACAGTAGAACATCAGTAAAATGGATAGAGTATGCATGCGTTCTCTTTATTATCCTAGCAACTTTTCAGGTTTATATTATTTCAAAAGACAGTTTAAAATGACTTCTGAGACACAATGATACAATGTGGTAAACATCAAATACCACCCTATCAAAAAATTATTTTGCCTTATTTATTTAAAAAACATGAGTGAGCCCTAACTGGTTTGGCTCAGTGGACAGAGTGTCGGCCTGCGGACTGAAGGGTCCCAGGTTCGGTTCTGGTCAGGGGCATGTACCTTGGTTGTGGGCACATCCCCGGTGGGAGGTGTGCAGGAGGCAGCTGATTGATGTTTCTCTCATAAATGTTTCTGACTCTCTATCCCTCTCCCTTCCTCTCTGTAAAAAATCAATAAAATATATTTAAAAAACAAACAAACATGAGTGAGATAATAGGCAACTTGGTCATTCTAACTATGTATATTCCATCTATTTCTATTTCTAATAAATAACTTTGAAACCACCATTTCTAACATACCTGGTATCAATGTCAGCTGCCTGGATTGTGTTAAAAAGCAATTCAGCAACACCCACTCCCTCAACATTAATCAAGTGAGGCTGAAATAAAGCTTCTGGTGCTTCAAATCTCTCTCCACCGACTTTGATAATGCGGCCATCTGGGAGCTAGAAACCAAGATCAACCAAGTGTTAGCAAGAGATTAAAAAATCTTCCAGTGTTCTCCAGAACACGAGTACTTTTAAACACGTTTTATAGCCAAAATCATTATCAGCAACATATTTCTCCCAAAATACATTTCTGAAAAGAGAAAAAAAAGTAAAGCAAAGTATTGTTAGATAATTGTTTTTATTACCATACTCTATTCTGCTTTTAAAAATGGTATGCCTTGCCCAAAGGATCAGGAATTTCGTGGAGAAATCACCAATGCGTGAGTGCAGAATGTTCCATTGGTGTTCAGCTAAGCATAAACAGGCAGCATTATCAACCATTGCTCTTGAATCATACCTGGTATCAATGTGCTTCTCTTATTAACACATTTGTAATTTTATAAAATTTTTACCATGTAGCATAAACAGATTCAATTAAAAATTTTAAATAATTTCTTTCACCAAATAAGTACTCTGTGAAACTAATTTTGTTATCAAAACACTTTACATCATGTGTGGAACTTCTGTCAAATTATTTTATCCAAAAATTACTTTATGATCAAAAAAGTTTAAGGAATACTGATCTAGACTATTTTTTATTAGGCAGTTCTTTTGTATCCTACTTATTAGGTTCTATTAAATTTTAAATGATAATGACAAAATATTAATTTAAGCAAAGAAGAGTTAAGTCTGCCCTGGCCAGCTTGGCTCAGTGGATAGAGCGTCAGCCTGCGGACCGATGGGTCACAGGTTTGATTCCAGCCAAGGGCACATGCCTGGGTTGCGGGCTCGATCCCCAGTAGGGAGTGTGCAGGAGGCAGCCAATCAATGATTCTCTCTCATCATTGATGTTTCTATCTCTCTCCTCCCTTCTTCTCTGAAATCAATAAAGAAATATATTTTAAAAAAAGAGTTAAGTCACATCTTGTTTATGTTTAATTAAATGAGAAATGTTAAAGAAAAACTCCCTCTCTTACATCACCTCATAATTCATTGGATGAACCTAAGTAATAAGCGTGCTTGTGTATACTGGCATTTAATGAATTCTTTATGAGATAACAGAATTAGTTTTACATTGACATGTCTCACAGTGTATTTAATATATAATAATTACAATAATTATATTCAGATTTCAAAATTGACTTTCCAATACAACAAATTCACACAGAGCAAGTCCTTTTAAACATTTATTCCATGTTTGCTGTAACTGTTTACAGATATATGCAAAACAATCAGTTTTCAAAAACTCCAGAATTATCTTTTTATAAATTGTATCAAATGTCTTAAAAAGAAAAAAGATACTGATCCAAACATTTAACCTTAGAAAAATAAATAAAACCACCAGGTGAATTTAAAAACCATATGATATCACTCAAGATACCTAGAAAAACGTCACATGGCAGAGACTTTTAACAAAATCTCTGTACCTGACATTTCTAGCTTCTTTGATGGTGTGACTTCTCTGGACACCCTGGCTACTGTCACACTGGAGTCACCTACTCCAGGAACTACCTACCCCCAGGAACTGTTAAGACGCTATGGTTCCCATTTCTTTGCATCAAATCTTACTCTATCCTTTATTTGTTCACCCAGATCCCTCTTCACTTATCAGTTTGCTGTTTCTTTCCTGTCATACATATTTTTATAACCTGCCCCAAATTCTTTGAGAAAGGAGGAAATTAATAAAACATGTCGTACAGTCTTGGTCCCTCATCCTTTGTCTCATGCCACTTTCTTCCAAATAAGGCAGATAGATGAAGTTATAAATCTAGAGGGACTATCAAGAAAGCTTCAGGAAAGAATCCTCAGGGCCATTAAATCACACAGTATTACATTACCATTTGAATCTGTATCTTTAAAAATAAGACAATATAACTCATAAAAATGTATACTTACTTTTAAAATGACTATTTTGTATATATTTGGGATATACAGAGCTTACATGAATCAAATGGTTTAAGAATAATTGTTTTCACTGACTATTATTCTACTTCATTTTAGTAATAATTAGTTTGAAGATGAGATCTGGAAGCATTTGATACCCAGATGCATATGATAGAATTAAGATAGCAATACATTAAAAATTCAGGTACAGTCCTAGCCGGTTTGGCTCAGTGGTTGGAGCATTATCCCAAGAATTAAAGGATCCCGGGTTTGATTTCAGTCAAAGGCACATACATCAGTTGCAGGCTCAATCTCTGGCCCTGGTGAGGGCACGTGCAGGAAGCAACCAATCTATGTGGCTCTTTCTCTCTGTCTCTCCCCATCCCTTCTGCTGTTTAAAAGAATCAATGTAAAAAAAATATCCTCATGTGAGGATTAACAACAACAACAAAAAAATCAGGTAGGAGCAAATCCCCTCATATAAACTGTAACAAAGTTCTAAGTCTCATTGTTATAATTTCAAGTTCACATTTGTTTTCAACATCTCATTGAGAAACTGCATTCCAAGAAAACCTCCTTAAGCACACACCAATAACCATGGTTATTCATTTTAAAACTGGAAATACTTACTGTGTAAGATTCAACTAATACTGTGGTTTCTAAGGCCAGTTTCTGCTCTTGCTCAATGTTATATCCCACATAACACAATTTTTCTTTAATCATTCGAACTGTTTCAAAATCAGCAGAATGGTTGAAGGCGTATCCTCGCAACAGAAGCAGCTGACACACACAAAAAATATGGCAGTAAATTCACAATTACTCTGAATGAGTTCAACTCTGTAAAAGCTGTCATTGCTCACTAAGTATGTCACATCAATAACAAATGCAATAGGCAGTGGATCCTAAGCTCTTACTGATTATTTCAGAAACAGGGACATTTCTTTACCATAGAAGAATTTATTTCACTTTTGCAGAGAAGCTTCAGAGTAACAGAATCAAAAGTTCATGAATAACAGGTAAAACAAGCTAGTTTTAAGAAAGAGTACTGTTTAAGTACTAATGTTTAGATAGTTTTGGTAAACATTAAGTCTATTAGTAAATAAATATTATTTTAGTCACAAATTCCTATTGTCTGCAATTTACTCAATACCATATTCATGATATCTCTGGGTCTTAGAAAATTTTATCTCTAGCTTCTAATATAATGTCTGACACAACAGATGGACAATAGCATGTTAAACAAATGGGGGGGGGGAAGAACTCAACCTGCTAATAGGAAAAAAACAAAACAATAAAAACATAATATGCATATAAACACAACTGGACTTTTCATAAAAACCTCTAAAAAACAAATCCCCTAATCTTTGTGTAACACCCTTGGAAATTCCTTTGGTGGTTACCCTAAGACAGAACTTTGGCCTAGAATGAGTGTATTATAACTCTCATTAACCTAACCTCATTATTATTCTAATTTGAGACTAAAGAAACCCAATGTCAAGATGAAGACTCAATGCAACCCAATTTATTGCACAGACATCACCATACACATTTTGGACATTATAGTCTTTTGCTGTGGGGACTGTTCATTATAGGATGCCCTGTTCATTACAGGATGTTGAACAGCACTCCTGCAGCTGTAACATCCAAAACATGTCTCCAGGCATTGCAAAATGCCTCTGTAGGACAGCACCGTCCCTGGTTGAGAGCCACTGATCCAGAGGAGATACACTAACTACAGAATTCTGGTACAGACAGTACTCTAACCATTTTTTAAAAAAAACATTAAAAAAGTACTCATGCCTCCAAACAGTGACCTCATATACTTTCTCCAGCAATATTTTAAAGAAAATTATAACTAATTAGAGTAAGAAGTAAACTTTAAAATAGCAAACACTGAAAACTAGATATATTCTATGAAAATTACTAAATATTAAAGTCAGGCACATCTGGGCCCTATTTTTAATCAAATATTACTTTGCTATCGATGTGTTTTATGGGGAAGGACAAGAACAGTCAACCCAAGCAAGATTATAGCTTTGATATATATCTGTTCAAAGTAAGGTTTAATGGCAGAAAAGCCTGCCTAAGTTGTTCAAGGCAGTTTTATGGTATCTTCCATCTTTTAAATACCTCTCTATCCCTTCCTCAGGAATAGCAAACATAATTATATAATGAAATAACATATTCTCATTAGTATACCAGAGATCTCATCTATAAATCTCATATGGATTTTTATAGGGATAATGGAGCAACCAGGCCATTTTACTAATGATGCAGAAGATTTGCTAGAATCCTGAGATGATACATTCAACTTTGTGTTAAGTCAAACTACAAATCTAATTTCTAGGATATCATCTTTTGCTTACCTTGATAAGATATCTGGTAATATCCCTCCCAGCAATATCCAGTCTTCTGGTAAGGTGAGGGAGAGAAAAGCCTTCATAAACTGGACAAATGTGAGTTACACCATCTCCAGAGTCCACCACTACTCCAGTCAATAAGCCTGTGTAAGAAACATGAGGTTTTAAGTATAGTAATGCCAAATCAGAAAAATCAAAGCCAGAAAATTTCAACTATTAGTATAGAAGCCAAACTAGAAACTTCACCAATCGTAATGGTCTAGAAGCCAGCATTTCTTTATTATTTATTTTAAAGTGTGTTCCTAATACAGACACTAAAGTTGGTATTCTCTCACATACCGCTTCTGAGAATTTTAGTCTAATCATGTATTACCCCAAGAAATGGGGGGAAAACCGATCCTGAGACATAGGACTGAAAAACACATGTTCTTAATGCTCAGTGCAATTCTTTATTTTTCTTTCCAACTTAGTATTTATCTCTGAATTCCCCTCAAGTAAAATTTTCTCAAATATATTGAATAACTTTTGTGAAAAGCGATGTGAAGGGTAAATACTACACAAGTGGATCGTGAAACCATTGAAACAATCTAGTCTGTATTATTATTTTTTCCATATAGTATATTCAAACTGTGCTGTTTCGGGAA